AAAAAAAAAAAAAAAAAAAGGGGGTCCGAAATCCCCGGACAGGTGAGTGCGCTGGGGGGGTCCGGCACCCAACTGGGTGCCCTGCCCGGCCAGGCCGCCCGGGACCTCCCCCGGGCCCCTGCCGTTCACTTGGGTGGCCCGGATCCCCACTCAGCGCAAAACTGCATTCAGAATTTTTAAACCAACATCTAAATGATTTTGCAATTGTTAGTGAGACAGAACAAGCTATTATTTTTTTTTTAAAAGGGTTTGAACTTTGAACAAAAGTATTCGGAATAGAACGGCTATCAGTGCTATGTAGAGGCGATTCGAGGATTGGACGAGTGGGATCTATTAAAAGCAGCACCCTATGCTGTTGGAATGGAGAGTTTTTTTAATTTCTTTCTCCTTAAATATATTTGGACCATTTGTCGATTTATGCATGCCATACTTGCGCAGGGGCCGTGCTGATCTTCTCTTCATCATTCCAATCTTTTTAACGGATGTCCTGAAGGGCTTGGATTGGAGTTCTCTGTTGCCCAACGACCAAACAAACAGTATATCTGCTTTCAGGAGCAGCAGAGACAGAAAGGGATCCTACGGAAGACAAGAAATGAAAACAAAATCTTTGTTGCAGAAGAGAACAAGAGCACAAAAAAAAAAGAAGACCCCCCTGGGAGCAGCAGAGACAGAAAGCGACTGTTATGACCAACCCCCCCCCCCATACACCCACACACACACACACACACCCCTGACCCTGCTGGGGTCTGTCTGATGTGTCACTGGGTGCTGCCAGAAAGCTTCCCGGCCAGCTGCAGCACCCCAGGAAGGCTATGGTTTGGGGGAGGGACAATTCCTGACAGCCCCTACCTTGTGTAGGCGTCTAGTGCTGCAAGGGCATGGCCAACTGCTTTTCTTACTTCTTCTCGCATGTACTCTCATGCTTGCCGGTGATAAGCAATCGGACTGTTGCCCCCCAGAATAGAAGGGGCTTGTGTCTTTTGGCAAAAAAAAAGAATTAACCAGAAGAACTCGTTCATTATAGAGATTTATGAAGACAACACAGCAAGCCTGCTTTCAAGTTCATCTAACCAACGGTGAGTACGACACTCATTATCTGTCGCTTACCATGAGTGCTGATTCTGCTGAATGGTAGAGCCAACAACAATCAAACACAAACGAACTTGTTTGTCAACTTATTAAGTTACTGCATGTTAGGAACTCAAGTAATAAAGTTTCTATGAATGGGGAGGGGGGGGGACATAAATGAGTAAAATTACTACTCTTCCGTACCAAATATAGTTCATTTTTTTTCCAGTTATGGTAACTTATGGAACGTCTCTCTGCAAACTCCTAGTCTAAACGTCTCTCAATCTGGAAAGACAAAGGCAAAGGGGAGGGGAGCACCTTACTTGCGAATCACATAAGTTCCTGATCGTTGTCTTTATCCAGCCTTGCTTGGAATTGATGACCTTGTTCGGCCTCTCTTCCTTCTCGGCATGCATGAAAAAAACATCGCATGTCCAAGAGAGAAAATCAGAACTCAGATATACAACCATCAGTCCACCATCATAAATTGTGGCATGTATGTTCACACGATTATCAAAAGCCTGCACAGATGTAGTCTAGAAAATTTGAAATGTGTACGCGGTTTCTTGAAAAGCGGACAGTGGTTCAATTATAGCACCCGAGCAACTTCCCAACGAACTGGTCAGGTCTGATAGAAAAGCATGCGGCAGAGTTTTCTTTAATCGTCCAGGCCTCTGACAGCATAGACTCCTCAGTCTGGACCCACATGAGGTGGGAAACATCAACCCAAGGCTTCCAAGAACACTGACAAAGCAATGAGAAAAGCCTAACTAGTAGCTTACCAGACTCGTTGCAACTGAAATAAATACAAAAATGACGCTTAATAAGGACTCTCTACAATTGCTATCGTGTAGAATAGGTTCACAACTACACATATCGGTGTCTGGACGAGCATGTGGTTATGATTGCACTGCCCGAGTATGGCATCTGCGCATCATGTGTGTGGCTGTGTTTGCAGTTACGACGAGAGCACTTGTGCATACACACACACATCTTTCTCTCTCTCTCTCTCTCTCTCTCTCTCTCTCTCTCTCTCTCTCTCTCTCTCTCTCTCTCTCTNCTCTCTCTCTCTCTCTCTCTCTCTCTCTCTCTCTCTCTCTCTCTCTCTCTGTGTGTGTGTGTGTGTGTGTGTGTGTGTGTGTGTGTGTGTGTTAAGTGTTGTCAAAATGTGAGCACATGCGCGTGTTTCTACAAACCAAAAATAAATATGATCTCTCAGCACAGATCAACAAAACATCATGGACGCAATATATGTCCCATGAGTGTGTGTGTGTGCGTGTGTGTGTGTGCGTGTGTGTGTGTGTGTGTGTGTGTGTGTGTGCGTGTGCCTATGTGTGTGTCTGTGCGTGTGTGTGTGGACGTGCTGAGGGTGGATTAGACCCTGTGGAGGTGGTGAGCAAGATCAACCATCTGTCAGTCAGTCCAGAGAGGTATGTAGGAGGCCACCAGCCCGCCCAGTCCCGGGCAGCTTGATGGCTTGCCAATTGTTAGATTTGCGACGTCAACACTAGCAGTCTAGGAAAGTGCCATAAGAAGTAATGCGACATCTGAAAACCTGAACAACAGGTAGTGGTTTAGCTTTGGGGGGAAGGTCTCAAACACCTACCTTTCTTCTGAGTTCCCCAAAATACGACAGTGTTTATGGACAAGGTTTCAAGCCCCTAACATTCTGGTAATACTCCCTCAACCACGCCACGCCCAGCTGAACTAACACCACACAATTATATCGCTCATTCACTCGATTCTTCGCACAATATTTAACGCAATGTCATATTTCAGAAATTCAGAAAAAAAAAAAAACAGTTGGGGTACTTGAGACCTTTCCCATTGATCACTGCTGTTGCCTTTGTCAAAAAGAAGCCAACCTATGTCTCCCATCTCAGCCAGCGGATTTTTTCCTTCAAAAGCTTCTTCTGTGCGGTTGCTCGCTCCAGCTGAACTTCCAGGAGCTGCTCCTCCTTTCTCAGAGATGCGTGCAGCATTGAGTTGGTACCACTACGTATCAACTTGTCCCTCGTATCATGCAAGCTTTCACGGAGCTGCCCAGAAAAACACAAGCCAAATGAACCGGAGACTCCATAAGATTCTGTTAATGGTGACAAACCAGGCATTACTTAAATGTGTACTCGCACTTGGACCTTTTGGAATGACCTCTGGACACCATTGCGATGAAATACAGCCCGCACAGGGCCTAATTGCGTGGTCAGATGCGTCCAGGAAAGTCTCAGTGCGAGTATGCCCTCGTTCCCAGCGCATGCAAGCACTTAAACGGTCACACCGAACAGCAATGAAAAACCAAGGAGAGCCCAGGTAGACGGTTGTCAGGAGTTACTGGATGGGTTCAGAAGGCGAAGGATAGGGAGGGAGATTACTTAGACCCACATCTTACGCAACAAATAACCACAGCCATGATGGATTGCAACCCCTGAGTAGGACCTTTTCACTTTTCTAGTAAATAAAACAGGCCTTATGGTCCTGGTTCCTATCTATTCTGAGAAGCATCAGTCCTGTTCCTTCTCAACCAGCAAGTCCAAGATAGTACATTGTCCTTCCCAACCGACATCCGTTAAAATTGGAACGATACAGAGAAGATTAGCATAGCCCCGGAGCAAGGATGAAACGCATCAATCGAGAAATGGTCCAAACTAACCAAAAAAAAAAAAAGTACAACTTGAAAGATTTACACACTTCCTCCCATTAAGGCCAGAGGCCCAGCTGAACAGCATTTTGATTGCTCCATTCAGTCTAGCCATCGGTAGACTGCCAGATGTAAACACTACATCCTAGAATCCTAAGGAACATGCAAGTCCCTTGACCCGTCATTGCTTATGGCCCCTCTCACTCTTTACATGTGCAGACGGCCCAATCTGCTTCTCACAAGATGAGGGTGCTGACCCTAAATTATTTCATAATTTGATGCCCTTGTGTAACTCCCTTGAGACCCCCTGCTCTCCTTTGCTATTATGCCCAAATTCGATTGTGATCTCTGGGTGCCATCTGTTATTGATCCGCTCAAGACCACTTTGTTGTGTCCATCTTTCCACCGCAGACAGCACCCATCGATATTGGCCACCTCGCCACTGCCCAGCAAATCATGCTGCCAATTAGCCTTGATTTTCTTTTCCTCCTTCACTCTTGATTGTATTATTAAGGCCTTCATATGTTGCCATTTGCACCTGATTTCCGTTTCTAATAGATCTTCCGTTGAAGACCAGACCTTCCCCCTCTGATTTCTCATTGCGTCAAGCATGGTGCTGCATCTCTCTTTCCGGATTTCCCACTACTACTACCACTACTACCACCAGTACTACTAACACTACTACTACCACTACTACTACCACTACTACTACCACTACTACTACCACTACTACTACCACGACTACTATGACTACCACGACTACTACGTGGGTTGCCAAAGGCGTCTAGAAAATCGCTCAGATCCGTTCGTGCGCAATTAGGACACTAGGACGTGGAGCACAACAGACTAACTAAGACAACAACTCTAAGGGAACTTTTTTTCCCAGCATTGCCTGCACTGAACCATTCTGCTTGTGGCTGTGCACAACACTTCAGTGCTGACGGGCATTACTTCGCCTTTCTGTGGCATGCATTATGTCCCTCCCTCTCCCCTTGCCCTCCCGTGCTCCCCTCTCTTCTTTTTTTAGCCATATATATTTGGACCATATCTCAGTTTATGTGTTATCCTTGCACAGAGGCCATGCTTATCTTCTCTCTATCTTTCCAATTTTAACTGATGTCCTGAAAGGGCAACTTTTGTCTTCCTTCGTTTTCTTTGGTCTTGTTTTCTTGCCGCAGCACAGCATCGGTAGAAGACATCTTTCTTTTTTTTGGTAAAATTTGGACCATTTCTCGATACATGTGTGGCATCCTTGTGCAAGGGCCATGCTAATCTTCTTCTCTGTGTGATTCCAATTTTAACGGATCTCCCGAAGGACATAGCAGAACTTGCTGCAGAAGACATCTCATCTACCACGAATCCCAATCTGGACAGGCAAGCACCTTTCTTTTTCTTTTGATCTTTCTTTGTTTTTTGTGTTCTACCAGAACATAGAGAGAGAGAGAGAGAGAGAGAGAGAGAGAGAGAGAGAGAGAGAGAGAGAGAGAGAGAGAGAGAGAGAGAGAGAGAGAGAGAGAGAGAGTGTCGCCTGCATCGCGATAACCTTCAAAAGAGAGGACAAACAAAAAGAGATTCACCTTTCACCCACTCTGGTGCCAAGAAAGTGCCTACCTTTTTTTCCCTCAACCTTAGTTCTTGCACCTCCACTTCTAAACTGGCCACCTTGGAACGTATAAACTCTGCAAAAGAAAGTTTCAGCTGCCTAACTTGTTCAACAGGATCCGACGTCCATCCATCCTCCAGCGCCAATGAATTTACAGGACGAGCGTCCTTCCTCCGACGACTCAACTCCGCATCGCTTCTTTTTGGACACCCTGTGACCTGGTCCTCATGGTGGCATCCACAGTACAACGCCCCGATGAACAGTCCTGCCAAATGAAATGGCTGAGGACAAGGGGAGTTATGTTAGGGCAAAATGCTAGAATTGAATGTGGCACATGAAGGAAAGAAGAAAAACACCAATTGTGTGAGTACAAGTGCAATCATTTTGTCAGCACCATACTTGCGGCGCACCGCGGTGGGCGCCTCAGCGCACGAGTTGCGCACGCAGCGCACCGCACTACGCCCCGCACCCGGTGCAGCACACCCAATTAAATAGGGTGGAAAAAAAAAAAAAAACGGGGGGTGGGGTTTGAGTTCGGTGCCCCCCCGGCCTCCCAAAATTGAAAAACAGGCCGCGCCAGCTTCGAAACCGGCCCCGCCCGCGGCCCGAAGTTTTTTTTTTGGGGGAAAGGTCTGCAGAATTCGAATTCGAATTCTGCAGGCCCTCCCCCCCAAAAACAACCACTTCGGGCCACGGGCAGGGCCGGTTTCTAAGTCGGCGCGGCCCATTCGTGTGCAGGTTCGTGACGGCCGACCAATGACGACGAGGGAGGGAGGAGCCGACGAGGACGAGGACGGGGGACTGCCGACTTCGAAACGACGACGGACGACGACGAAGGAGGGAGGAGGGCCGCCGACAAGGACGACGACGGGGGAGTGTCGACAAGGAAGACGGCGGCGAAGGAGGGAGGACGACGACGACAAAGGAGGGGGGACGGACGACTACGAACCACGACGAGGACAACGAAGGAGGGAGGAGGGCTGACGAAGGAGGGAGGAGGGCTGACCACGGAGGGAGGAGGGCTGACGAAGGAGGGAGGAGGGGGCGGCAGCAGCAGTGCCAGCACTCAGCGGCGGGAGGGAGCGGCAGGAGGCAGCGATCAGAGTGCACCGGGCGACGATGGCGGTAGGCACCACCAGCTCTCTCTCTCTCTCTCTCTCTCTCTCTC